TATACAGTTTAGTCTTAACAATGTCTCGATCGAGTTCGAAGATGAGCATGATCGGCCGAGACATTCGTGAGTTATTGCAAAAATAGTCATTTTTCCCTATGGCTTCCTATGTGAAAATCGACCTATCCCAGCTTTCGTAAAAGACTTTTCCCATCATAGTCAAATAAAACCCCAACTATTATATACCATTCGATAGAGAATTTCACGAGCTGCAAAATGGTATATAAAACATAAAGGAACGAGAAGGCTAACTCACCTATTACAAAGATACTTAAACGGAAATAGGTTCCGTTTTTGTCCACCATCTAATTGACTCACAATTCGAGCTCTATCTTCCGATCATAGAGTTGATACTTTGAGGTTTTCCGGGGCGGAGAACTCGAATCCGTACTCCACTTGCCTCGAAATACTATTGGTTGAGCAGTGACCAATAGAAATCAAGTTATAGGAAAAACGACTTTCTTAGGGTAAATCAAGGCAAAGAGTTCAAATTTGAGCTCTATTCGCCTCCAAGCCCTATTGATGGATCAATAGTCAACAGAAATAAACAGTTTATAGAAAAGGTTTCCCAGTATAATTTTGATATCCACATATTCTAAGATGACTCATCTGTCTAATTCACTTTTTGAAGTACACATAACTCTCGGATTTAAATCCAAATTTTCCGCATTTATTTAGGATAATTTTGATAAAACAAAAAAAGAAGGATCGCCTTGACCAGTTTTTTCATAGCAATCGAGTAAAAACAATGAATAGATAAGTATGAAATGCTCCTCTTAAAATAGATATCATTTATTGAAATAAACTAATGGTATACAAAGAATAGCACATGCAATATCTCTATATTATTCTTCTTTTCTTTCTTTCGTTTTGTAGCATTGAAATGCACATGTACATCGTCCTTCGCTGTCGTTTTTTCTTCTCGTCCCACTCTCCTTTTTCTTCACCTCTTTTTCGATCCGGTGTTTTCTTTTACCTTTCACTTTTTTTTTTCATCATTTCTCTTCTTCATTCTTTTTTCCGTTTCTGTGTTTACTGTCTTCACTTCCATGCCAACTAGGTTAATACTTGATATAAAGATATTGGTGGCGACGATAAAACTCATTGCATTCATATTTGTTGCTCAGTGCTTAAATATCTTAGTTTCTTCTTATATTATCATGTAAGAACTATCGAGTGTTACATTTAATAGCAAAAAAAAGGAACATATGTACAAAATTCTTTTAAGTTTTTCCGTACGATCCATTTTCAACCAAGGGAACAAGTATTTATTTTAAGTATCCTTTCTATAATTTCAGATGTCGCCATGTAAAAGTGTCTGTTGAAATGACTTGCATTTGTATCATTGCTTCATTCTGTAAACAGATATGTAAATATATATATGTAGTATAAGAAAAAAAAACAATAGCAAGTGAACGATATAAACAAAGAAGAAGCAATCACAAAGCGATATTGATGACTCATTCTAGGCATATGAACATTCATTAATGTACTGAGAACATAAATGATGTTGTGGTTCCAGGAATTTTCGAATTTACAAGTTTAAAAAGGCCTAGAAAATACTCAAATGTTATTTTAACGATTAAGTTGTCTATAAATATCGTTATTAAAAATATACTTCTTTATGTTACAGACTCATTATTCATTGAGACGAGGAATAAGAGTAGAGAAACAAAAGAAAAGAAAAAAAAAGCAGCAACTACCTACACAATATATTATTGCGATGGTGGGAAATAACTACGTAAAAAATGATTTCATCATCGCTCATCATCATCTATTTTGGTAACAGTAATATGAATACCAAGATTTTCTTTTCCACTAGAAATTTCATCAGACTACAACGTACACTGTAGATTATTTCATCAGCCATCATTGCGTTCTTTGAAAAGAGAAACGGAAAAATAATTTTCCCCGACAAATCGACGTGCCGCGTGTTTATAATAGCCTATTTCTTTGCTTGCACATGCAATAGTGTCTGTCGTACTCGCTCTTTGTAAGTTATCGTGACTTTTTCACAATCGGATAGAAAGTGGAAGAAAAATGGAAGGCATTACGTATTTTGTGGATTATTTTATTTAAAATAATTTTTTTAAATTCATTCAAACAGTGATTTCTGTAACTTTCAGGATGCACTCTACAACTAAGGTATGAATTTTTTCGAAGTTTTAGTTCTAATAGGTTTTTTTATACTAACAATTTTTTTTCAATAGAAAAAAGTTTCAAGATACATTTAATATTTCATTAATTTTAGGCTGATTAATAATTATTTTAAAAGTTTTCTATATATTATTTGATGCAGAATTTAATGAATTATATCTTGATAATAATCATTATTTTTTGAATAATTTCTAATCTATAAATAGATCGATCGGAAGAACATTAAAAACTAAATAAAATGGTCTAGAACTTCCATCCAAATGATTCATCTTACTATTATTATAAGCTATATAGTACACTTTATTACTATACTGTACGTGCAATGCAATACAAGTCTAATGAATAGCATTGGTTTAAATTTGGAAATCCAGTATATTTTATAGAGAAAAATTTATACTTTTGAATGAGACGTGCCTTAGCATTAGATCGATTCTAAAATTCGATTTACAGAAGACTGTGACATCTCATCTGTAAGTATAAATTATGCTCTAGAAAATATACTAGATTTCGAAATTTAAATCTATGTTGTATATTAGACTTGCCTTGTATTATCAATAAAGTGTAGTAATACAGGGTATAATGCTGCTTACAATTATAGTAAGACGTATCATTTTGTTCTATTTTTACTGTTCTTTCTATTGATGTACTTGGATAATTTATATTCCATTTGTACAGTTGGAACGAAAAACATTGAAAAAAAGAAAGTATTCATATAAAAACATAGCAGAATATTTTGATATAGTATCATTGAAAGTCTGCCTACGCTTTGCTCAAAAATAAGATGATCGTTGCAATATCAAAAATGTATGGATGCATTTTCTTAGTATTCAGCCTAAATTTTTTTATAATTTTTAAAAGAATATAATAAACCGTGCATCAATTGTTGTAGCTCCATTAGACCTATTGAATGATTTATTTTCGAATGTCACAATAAATATGATCAAAGAAAAATATTATGTCTAACATATGATTTGAAAAAAAAAGATTATTTAGGAAGTAGAGTGCATCTTTGGTAGTTTTTTTTTTCTGTTCAGTAATAATTTGTTCTAAAAGATATACAATTAGATCGATCTACCGATGACAAATTGACTAGTGTAAAATAAGTTCTTAAATGACTTCCATTTAATGGAAATATTCAACTTTTTTTCATAGATGATTTACCATTGCCTCAATTCTAGGACGTGACAGCGAGTTGACTCTTTCACTACAAGTAGAAAACAGAGAAAAAAGAAGGTAATGAAATTCACGCAAAATAATCAAGTCACAAAATTCAAAAAATACTGAGATGAGTATTCCTGTGATATTTTTAAGTTAAGTAAAGCTTTCAAAGAAGAGATATACATGATTTAATACCGATGATCCTATAGTATAAATGGAATACGATTCATCCACTTGAAAACGAGACCAAAATCTTTCGTTTTTTTGTAATAAGTAATCTTAATTAAGAGTAGTTGAATATTATTTATGAAAACTAGTGATTTTCAAAAATATATTAAGTATCAAAATATAGCGCATGAAATTCTGCATCGTATGATATGTAGAGGATTTTTAAAATAACTATTTATCAGCGGAAAATTAAACAAAACATTCAATATGCTTTAAAACTTGATTTCACTGAAGTAGAACGGTTGATATAAAAAAAAAGAAACTAAGATAACTAAAATCATGAAAATATTAACATCTCAGTATTATAGTACGTCATCAGAGCTACAGAAGACACTATTTGAATAGTTTGAACAGATCACTTTGAACAAAATAATTCACAAAATATAAGGTGTCTTCAAATTTCTTGTTTTTGTTTTTCTACTCATTTTCATTTCACCAAATAAGAGAGCAGATAGAACTGCAAAAAAAATGTCGACGGGTTTTCGCTTCATGAATATACAAAGTGACTAATGAACTCGGATCCATCATATGATACGCCTTCATTGAAATGCACGGTTATTACTGTGTTATATAACAGAGTTTCGAATGGGATGATATGGGACGAAAAAATTGTCCTATGCAATAACTAGACTAGTAGTAAGCCTTTCTTTAAGCCTTGAATCGACTTCTATGACTTTGTTTTTTTTTACTAATCACATATATCATACTGGTTTCGTTGAGAACAAAATTGTGAATCTAGGATACTAGGAGGATGTGGGTGTAGATGGTCGCCGGTGTCGTGATAAGGAAAACTTCATCATTACCGACACTCCACACCTTTTCATGAATTATTGGTTTACTTGCGTTTTGTTGGTTTTCCCAGACTGTTAGGAATGAGTAAAGATTTTTTCATATACCATGATGCATTCTAGAAATTTATTTAGATCTTTGTAGATTCTGTTTAAATATATAATACTTGAAATTCAGCAGAACCTGTCATCTACAGATTATTTCGCTTTAAACCAAAACTTATAATAAATTGTGTTGAAAATTGATTTGAAATAAAGGTTGTTTATAACCATGTTTTTTTTTATTCATGTACTCAATAGTTATGCAGGAGTGTGTTAACAAATAAAAGCTATTTTGAATCATATAGAAATTCTTAAAAACAGCTTAAGGTTTCATTACTTGAGCTTCTGAAAGTAGATTTAAATTTTTTTCTTGAAAAAATACTAGAAAATAGTCAGTAATCAATCTATTTGTGTTGAAGGGATAACATCAACAATGAAGGTATACTATAGTCTATTGCTCAGCGCTCTTATAAAGTATTTGTTGAAACCATGTGTCAATGAAAGAAAACTTGGGTTTTTTCCACGATAGCAAAAGAAAAAAAATCGTTCCATCCCATTCGATTCAAAGCTTCAGTATATAAGTAAGTATCGTTGAGATTGCTATTTTAGAAGATAACAATTGAAAAAATGACAAATAACGATAAAAAAATAGTTCCCGTTGGCGGATCGGTGGTTCCTGATGGTGGATGGGGATGGTTAATTGTCTTTTCATCATTCATGATCCATTTCGTTATGGACGGGTAAGTGAAATTTTCTGTCATATCTTCTTTAACTTTGTATGGAAACTAGGATAACGTATTCGATGGGTCAAGTATTCTTAGAACCGATGAGGAAGGAACTTTCTCTCGATCGAGCTTCGGTATCAACTATATTTGGTATTTTACCAGCTGTCACTCTCGGCGCAGGTCAGATATTATTGTTCTAAGTTGAACATTGTTTTTCAACAATTATGTTTTTGTTTTTTTTAATTTAGGGCCAATTGCAACCGTCCTCACCAATATGTACGGATGCCGTGCGGTGGCTATAGCGGGTACTTGCATCGCCTCTTTCGGTTTTTTTCTCAGTCGACTATGGATCAACATCTGGTTTTACTATATTACGATTGGCGTCGTCGGAGGTATGTTCTTTAATAAATCGAATCGATATCGGTACTTGGTCAATAGAACCGATTTAGTTGAAATCTTTCGAGATGTCCTTGTTTTATCAACCAAAAATGTATTATTCCAAACCTGTTCGTTTCATTCATGTTTCGATATTTTCAGGTATCGGTTTTGCATTAATGTATTTGCCAGCCATTGTCTCAGTCGGTTTGTATTTCGAACAAAAACGTGCATTTGCCATGGGCATCGCTGTATGTGGTTCAGGCGTGGGTACATTTGTACTTTCCTATATCATGGATAACATCGTCAATATATTCTCATGGCTTGACTATAAGAACGCATTAGTTGTCGAAGCTGGTATTATCTTGTTTGGCATTCTATGTGGTTCCTTGATGGTAATTAATTTCGTTTTCTTCAATGTAGGGATATCTATTTGAAGGTCTAATGCGATAAGACGTAGCTCGACTAGGAGTGAACGATTCCGTTCCCAAACCATAGTTATACTGTCGATTTCGATACAGTTCCAAAAACGATCGAGCCTATCTGAATACGATTCTGATTCTGAGAAACAAACAACTAGAAATCGGAAATATTTGTCAACAAGATAATGCATTTCTTTATATACATTTTGACAAGCAGTCAAAATCAGTCATTTGGAAGTATATGAACAAAATTAGCCAAAAAGGAAAGTACTCTACTTTCATTTGGCTTTAGGTCTCTCTAAGGATTACTTCTTCGAACAGTTTCTTTTATCATCAATAAATGCAAGTGTTTGCTATTTCACTGAACACTTAAATAATTAATTTATTGGCAGTAATTAGCGAATAACTTTCTAATATTAAAACAAAAAAGTTTAAACATTTCAAGATACTCTACACCACCGACTACAGCTACAAAGCAAGACAAAAAGTTTTACTGTAATCTATAATTTCTTAAAATTAATTTATACCATTTCGGACTAGTTTTTGGTTTTATCATTCAGTAACAAGAGCATTTTTCGTTTTGGGTAATTGTACTCAGTCATGTCGCTAGCATTAGTGTTTCAGCAATAACTTTTCTGACTAAAAGTATATAGGGCTGATTTTTGAGAATATCTAGAGTAACTTAACATGTATTTGATATATAAGAACTACTTCTATAAAAAATCATTATCACGAGATATACATATTTTAATCTTGCGAAGTTACTTCATTCATGAATGGGTTTGCTCATATATAAGAAATGAATAAGCAATTCCAACTCGGACTTGGAATCAAAGTTGTATCAAAAATATAAGTATCGAGTTTCTTAAATGAAAAGAAATTTCTAAAGACGATAATAATAAATTCTCTATCTAGGTTCCTCTACCACAAGAACCCAGCGAGCAACGACGACTAGAACGAAAAAGACGTGCAGAAGCTAAACAAAAGCAAATCGATCAATCCTTAATTCCGGAGAATGCACCTTTGACATCGAACAATAATGCTTCCGACGGTAAACTTGTCTACAGACCTATTTTACGTTTATTTATATTGTTTTACATATCAATCTCTTTAACAATAGGCGAATCAATGTTGCCAGTTGTTACTATTGATAAAACACCAACCAAATCTTTTTTTCATCAAATCATCGAACAAATCGATCTCAACCTACTGAAAGATGCTGCATTTACACTATTTGCTATATCGAATTTTTTAACAAGTCTCGGTTTCAACGTAGTTTACAATTTTGCTGATGATCTTGCAAATGATTCAAAAGTGATAAAAGATCAACGAACATATATTGTTATGTCAATTGGTTTGTCGAACATTTTCGGTCGTTTTATTATTGGTTACTCCGGTGATCGAAAATGTGTAAGAAAATTTTTCGATATAAAAAATTACATTTAGTAAGATCATTTTTATTTTCTAGGTCAATCGACTTCTCTTATTCATATTAACATTGATTATTTCTGGTGTTGCTACCATGGTAGCTCCATTATGTGGCTCTTCTGTTATTCCTCATATAGGCTATGCGTCTTTTTTTGGCTTCTTTTCAGGTGGTTATGTTGCTCTAACTTCAATTGTTCTTGTTGATATAGTCGGCATTGATAAATTATCGGATGCATTTGGCGTTCTTTTACTTTTTATTGGTATTGCAACTGCTATTGGAACACCAGTTGTCGGTAAGGATTTATTTTAATTTTTCGGTCGTCTTAGTTGCATTTCTTTAAATATGCATTATTTCTAGGAGCGATGCGTGATGCATTTTCTCACTTTGCTCGACCTTTTCTCTGGCCGTATCTTATTTTTGGTGGTTGTACAGTTGTCAGTGGCGTCATGCTATTTGCTATTCCTCTTTTGCAACGAAAGAAGTCAACTAACAATCAAATGCAGACGGATAGTAATACTATCAACTCTGAAAGAGGTCTATCGTCTCAAGAAAATCAGCAAAATATCTAACTGTTTGCATCCAATTTTGTTACCTGCGATCATAAATTTGGATATTGAGCAAATTCTTAAAAAGAAACCATTGAATTCAAATTGCCATTTTTGCTGGTCGTTCAAAGCAATTTTTTCCTTAGCTGTATATAGAGTTAAAATTCAGCTTTAAATATTTTCCTATGTGTTTTTTTATGAAAATAATCAATTATACAAGAGTGCGAGTAAGTGCATGTTTAACTAAGAAAAGGGCAATCAGTTTTAATTCGAATATTTTACTTTACTTTTCGAGTAAACTGCTCATTTTAATAGGTTAAGTTGCGTAAATTGTTTCATATACTAAATTAAAAGAAAAGTATCTATTCTACTAATGCTTGTTGTTTATTGTAACCTTTGATATAAAAAATATATATTGGTGTAATTTTGCGTCTATATCTTTCAAAAAAATTTTCGGTACTTGACCTAACACGTTCAAGTGTTTTGAATCGATTAGATGAAGCTTATTATCATCTTTGAAAATGTTCTTAAAGTCATATCGGTATTATCTTGGAAATCTCTCAGGGTCACATCCATACCCTCTATCGTATAAAATAGATGTGTGTCTTTGCATTCAATGACAGCGAACAAATGAAAATGAAGCGGAAAATGATTTAACATAGAAAAAAAACTTTTCATACTAATGGAAAAAATAAAGTTTTTCTTAATCGTCCATTTGTTGCTATAATCTATTTATTCTATACATGGTTAGTAGACATTAATGTTCAACAACATTCATTCTGATAGGTTATTAGTGTCTAACTTTATTTTGATTGATTCCGTATTGGCTAGAAGTTACGATTTAAGAAGGATGTGTGAGTATGCCAGGAGAGAGTACCCAAATTCACAACGACATTCCAAATTATCTTTTTTGTATTGTTTATTTCTTTTAAATTTGTAGATATTATCTAAGTTCTATCATTTTATTATTGATGTTTCAATGTTTTCACATTAGTGTCTTGACCTTTTCAAGTGTTTAGATTTTTATACAAATATTTTATATCGGTACTCGATTGTTGTATTCATGAATTATTTAATTGAAAAATTTAATCATTACATCAAAACGAATTGATGCTATTGAAATGAAAATAATTTATTATTTGATACAAGATAAAGATGAATGTCAAAGAGAAATATGCTTCAAGTATCAATATAACAATGCTCATACTAACTTCATCAAAAGATGATAGTATACTATTACTAGTATGGTTGAAAACAATAATCAAATTACCAAATGACATTACAATCGTCTGCTCTTGTTTTTTGGTTTAAGTTTAACATATAGTTTTATCAGACACAAAAACAAAAAAGACCTTTTACTTGTTCTTCACCTCCTTTTTCACAAAAATAAAGTACTATTTTTTCAATCGAAAAACAATTAAATCGTACAGATACAATGAAAAACAAATGAATATCTATTCTGATCGATATTCATTCATTATAGGTTCCGTAGCTACGACACGAATCCAATTGCATGTCTCATGTTGTTTATAGTGAATCGTGGCAAAGAGTGGAGAAATTTGTCGTATATGATCTACTTCTGTAATTGTTTCATTTTTTCTGATCACAATATTGAATCGACATTGAAAATGTTCAAGACGAGGTGTACGTTTGGTGAACATGTAATATAAATCGAAAAAATCGATTGGCGATAAAGCATGTGTACAACGTACGGCCAGATGACTTAAGACGGGTGTAAACCAAAGTACTTGTTCAAGATCATTGATAACATGATAATATTCGTCTAGTACGACATTAAGATAATGTAAAGCCATGTGCTGAAATGATGTAGTGACGGCAATAGATGGAGTGAGATAAAATATAGTAGTAGTAAATTGACATAGAGCTGGTAACGTTTTCAATAAATCAGGCCAATGTTGCAATTCACCTGAAATATATTTGAAAAAAAAGACAATAGTTGTTCTAATTGAATTTCATCTTCTCGAATGAAGATATTCAATCAAAGAATAACTTACATGATCCAATAGATAGTGAATATAGATATTTGTTTTCAACAACATAATGTTCGAGACGAAGATCAGCACCATCTTGACGAACCGAACGAAGTTGTGTAAAACGATTTGATATAAGTAAACGATAGAAATCGTCGATATAATCATATTTCAATGGAGTTGCATATTTGATTGAAAGCATTCTCAGATCAGGTAAATGCTCTGGTTGAATGGCCCTAAAACATTTATCAGCATTATACGAAAATAATTTCTATACGTTAAAGACAACAGAAAGCTTCGTACACTATTTATCTACGAACTTTTCACAGAAATATCGTCGTTATTTGATTCGAATCTGAACTTATGAAATTCAGCCTAATTGAGAATAGAAATGTTTTATGTTTATCTCAAAGTAATATTTCGAAAAAAAATTTAATTTTTTCTTTTCTAACAATCCAGAAGATGTTGATGTACATGAATTAAACTGATTTTCGTTTTTGTACGATTTCACAAAATTCAAACAAAACTTGAATCTTCTCTCTAGATATCTATTTATGATAGTTCGAAGGGAATTGAGATTTTCTTGAATCGATGGGAAAATATACATACCATTATAGTCAAATCGACTGATTAGAAAATCGGTCAAGATGTCAAACGGTCTCTAGACCAAGAATATGCTAAACAATTAGTAAAATTTTGGTAGCCTAAGAACACAAGCCTAAAAAAACAAACTATTCTAGACTTCTCTATTGCTCACTAACACTCATCGAATGAGCTTAGTTCTAGTTCAACAATGATTCGACAGTTTGAGAGATTAATCAAAGTAGAAGAATAAAGTAGAGTATATTTTGCTGTCAATTACATAATGAAGTATTTTACTATTGAAAAGAATTCGTCAATCGATAAATCGAATTTTATTTGATGAAGGTTAACGAACTAACTCTTTTCTCGATTGATGAGTTTTAATCGAGTCATACTTGATATATCTTTATGATGATTCTATAAAAAGTATCACACAGGTGAAAATTACTTACATCAATTGAATGAATGTTGGTCTAAGAAAATAGAGCGATTGGAGACGTCGAAATTGTGTCAAATCAAGCTCTTGACACCAAAGAGCGATGTAAAGTGAGATGATTTGTGGAGCAAAATGTTGAATAGCAGTCATCAACAACTGATTACGATCTTCGGATACTTCGACTCTCGCACTTAGTCGTACTGATGCAAGAATTGAATTTAGTCGTTGATTAATATTACGAAAGCCATGATAGAGAGTCTGAACGGGAACATAAGCAAAAATGGTGAGAAAAAGCTCGTCTGGAAGATCTTCGAGATGAGTGATCGAACATAAAACTTCGTCATTCATTGCAATATAAATAATCTGAAATTCAAAAAAAACAATTTTTCTCATCCTATTGTTTTGAGATTATGTTCTATTCATAGTTTGATAAATACTGCTTGAACGAAAAATATTGGTATTGATCACTAGATCACTTTTACATGTCAGAACAAATCAAAAGTAAAAAACGAAACGAATCTATTTCCTTAGTTCTCTTCTTATCGTTTGTACTGATTAAACCTGCCTCGTTTATTTTTTTTTATAACCGCCGATCGTTGATTCACGCTTATTGGTCAACTTATTGACGACTAATATTTTTAGCAACAGCTGTCGCTATAAGCAAACGATTGCATTTTTTTTCATATCGTAGATATGAACACTGACTACTATTCTGATGTTTTGTTGAACTCATTAATACTCAGAAATAAAATTTTTCTTAGTATGGTCGGTTCGATATATATTTGTATGCTCGATTAATTATCAGTTAAGCTCTGATTCATAAGTGTCTGATAAGTGTGAATATGGATGGCCTCTCACCCATACCCACATTCTAAGTTCTACACCGCTTTAGCAAACCATAATATTCAAATAATGACTGGTACAAAAAGAGTGAGTTCGCTGTGAATTTCACAGGTATTTTATTTGATTTGTAACTGTTGAAATTTGAACAAATTTTTGAACGATACTCGATTTATTTTACTATAGAATCGGTGAAAAGTAAGTGAAATACAAAACTATATTCGTTGACTACATAAAAAGTCAAAAACATAATTTTTCTTCGAACTCATCTAAATCTTTACTAGATTACATTAAAAAGTTCAGTGAATGCATATGCATATTTCTTTTGTTTTCTATCATTTTTGTGTAAGCAAACTAAGTAGTTACACTCATCTTTCATGAATTCTACGATGGCTATGAGGGATAAATAATTTGTTTCGGAAAACTTGGATAACTATATCTCATGTAGTCTCGAATTTGATTAGCTACAGACAGAAAAAAAAAAGAATTGAATTTCGTCAAAGAAAGTCATCTGAAATTGCACTGCTCAGATTCACTTGCTATTTAATCGATATAATCCGATGTCTATTCTACTTTTTTAATAACCGAATAATAACTTGTGTATGTGAGTGTTAAAGAACAGAATACGTACACCCATACCAAACTATATCTCACACTTTTTTTTCTTTTGTATGTGATAAGACATGATTTTTGTACAATTAGTATAGATGATCATTTTTATTAAATAAAACGACTTATTTCTGCAGAATTTCTTCACTTTCGTTAAGAGCCAATTATTAATTGTCAAAATCTATGTATTTTATTTTAATTTGAATAATTTTTTTATTCAAAGTGTCGAGTTATTACATTTCGAATAATGTTTAAAGACTATATATACGTATAATAAAACAGTCAAAACGTATTGTATAGTCATTC